ACCCCTCCCTAGGAAGATCAGGGAAGTTCTAAGGAAAATCTTGGGTCAGTTGAACCCCAAACTTCCCTTTTTATAAACATATGTCCTTAAAAGCTTGACTCCTCTATCCAGGTAATAGCTTTGAGCTTTATCAGACCTATTCTCCTAACCTGAAGTAGAATCACTCCTTTCCTCCTTAGCATTTCCTGAGTACTAACTAGGCACAAGGCTCTGTGCTGAGTTTGATGAATCAGAGATGCCTAAAAACACATGCCTGTCCTTGGAGTATTCAGCCAACCAGGAAGGATACAGATGATTCATAATCGTGATGCAATGGGAAGAGCTCCCCGCCCCCCGCCCCCCACCCCCACCAAACTAGACCTGCTCTTCTAGGGTGAGATCTTGCCAGACCCGATCTCGGAGTAGAAGCAAGAGGAGACCAGGTTCCTCTGGGGGCCACCACCCCACCCACCAGGAGCATTGTTGCCAGGAAGACATCACCCGCCCTCTCTACCTCCAGCATCATGCAGCTAGTAGATATTCATTCACACTTGGTGGCAGAAGGAGGCATGTTGATGGGTGGCATGGCAAATACTTATCCTCAAGCCTCTACCATGGATGGAATGTAGAGGTACAAAAGAAAGGGGGAATCAAAGAAAAATTCAACAGCCAGTTTCTGCCATCCCAAAGCCAAAACTCTGGTTATAAGCCATAAACACCAGAGGAGCATGAAAAGAGCACGGGTTTCAGAGTCTGGACCCCTGGTTCTTCATCCCTCCTGTGTAACCTTGGGCATGACCTCACCCCTCTATGGCTCAGTCTGTTCATCTGTAAGTGGGGGACAGGGCCGGAGCACGCCCAGGGACTGCAGGATTGGTGCTGACCGATGACTGTGTGTTTGATTTGTCTGTCCCTTAAAGTTTGGGCTTTCTTCCCTTTTAGCTTTGATTTAAGGTCTGACCTTGGCTTGCGGGCAGGGGGAGAAATGAAGACAGGATCAGGTGGGGAGCTGGGCAGTAGAAGAAGCCAGAGAGAAGTGATGCATTACAGGAGGAAATGACGCATTACAGGAGAGATGAAGAGGGGAAGCATCAGAGGACGCATCAGAAGGGCCACCCTCCATGCAGGTCAAAAACACAGACCATTGCTGGTGCCACTGCACAGACCTAGAGAAGGGAAGGAATGGGTGCCAAGCTCCAGGGCCACCCAGTCATTCAAGCCACCAAAACAGTGGTTAGTCAGGGCTGCTCAAATTGGGTCACCTCAGAGCAGATGGGGGGGGTGGGGAGGGAGTGGGGAGGGTGGCCTGGCTGGCCTCAGGCACACTGTGGCCTGTGAACACTGATGAGCCAGCAGGAGCAGCAAAGGCCCCAGCGGACAATAAAGCCAGATCCAGATGTGGCCACGCGTGGAAAAACCTGGTGTCCAGAGTACAGAGTGCCCTGGCCCGCGTGGCCTCCTGGCCCTCCTGGAGCCCTGAGTAGTCTCTCCCGCGTGTCAGATGTGGCTCCCAGGTGCCCGGTCCACACACACTCCCAGCTCTGTCATGCATCGCTCGCCAGCAGATGCGAGGACCACTGATGCATACCACATGGAGGAAAGAGTTCTGCTTATTAGATTACTAAATCCTCCTAGAAACGAGGGCAACTTGCTCCTAATAGAATTTTTTACGTTTCTCGCGATCCTTGGTGACTCCCGTGAGGTTTTTCCATCTCCGGAGTGGTGCCAGGGGTGGATTCTACCAGCCAGTCCTCTCTCCTTTCAGGAGCAGGGCCCTTGAAAGCAACTCTGTCCCTGGGAGGGAACCGTGCTTTCTTAGTATAACAGGCCCTTCTAATTTGTTTAAAATCTGTCCTGCTGACTGTGGGGGCAGTGGGGGGGAGGTCTGCTTCCGCGGGGCGGGGGGGGGAGGACGCATGTGTGCAGAGTGGGTGTTCTCTGAAACTCTAATCGTTGAGAGGGTAGGTAATACTATTGTTTATTTTGCTGGGTCCTACCTCTCCCTCGCTCCCCATCAACACACAAAAGAAACCGTACAGATGAACAGGGGATGATGTTTTTGCAGTTGAATGTCTCCTCTGCGGACGATGCCATCCTGCAACGGAGGCTCTTGCCACCCGGAAGTCACTTTGTTTTTCTCCAGGTCAATGGTGCATTGTTGGACACCGAGGATTACTTAGGCTGGGGAAGAATGTGCCAAGTGTCTCACTGCATTTAAAGTGCCGTCAGGTGACGCAAAGGAGAAAGGCGAGCCTCGCCTTGCCAGGAGGAAAGAGGCTAAATGTGGCGAGTCAACCACACCTTAGGTGCTCTCTGGGACATGCGTTTCATCTAAGTACTTGGTTTTGCTTTGGTCACAACCCTCTTTTCTCTTCGAGTGTCAGGAGCAAATTAGTGTTCAGTTTTTGTTTTCTGCATTCAAACTTCTCTTCTTACACTAGTGATATCATCCCTGGAAGACCGAGATGTAAGAAGAGGTGAATCATGTATCACCTTCGCATCTCTTCTAGAATTACATCAGCCAGAGTGCTGTGGGGTGCAGTGGGGATAAAAGCCAAAAAGTAGAGGGGAGGAAGGAGGGAAGGGGAGGGCACCCAGAGGGAGGGAGGGAGGGAGCCAGTTCTTTTGCAGTTTTCTTATTTTCTCCTTCCTCCTTCCTCAGCCCCTAACCCCCCTTCCCTATTTATAAATCAGACAAGTGGAAAAATTAGACTTTAAGGAGACAGTTGCCTTATATGTATTGATGGTGTTGGTTTAAAGGTCATTTCTCTGAACTTTCCTACCAGTCGCCATAGGCCCATCAATCGCAGGCAAAAGCCAGCCCTGGCATTGTCACTAGACACATAAATTGGTTAAGAATGAAGACACACAGACCCTGCCCCACCACCAAGTATCAGCCATATGGTCTTCACCCTGTTTAATGTTGCATCTGGTTCAAAGAGCAGAGGGACTTGGCAATGTGTGAAAATAATTTGACATGTGAAATCTAGTCATGCAGGATAGTGATGGGCCACACAAGCTGCCTGCCAGTCAGGTGAGAGCTGTATGGAAGGCACACTGTGAGCATCTGGGGAGGGTGGGATCTGACTTTCCTGACCTCTCTCCACCTGGGGGTTTTAAATGTCATGCAGTGATGTGCATCTGAGGTTTGTGGGGAGAGGGGTAGGGACTCAAGCGAACCAAAATGTAACAGATTCAAAGGCCTGGACCTTATCCTGATGCCCTTACGAAGTGATTCTGAGTGTCTTTTAGTTATTTCCCACCCACCCACCCCTTTCTTTTCATTCCTAAAGCTAATCTTATGCCTGAACCACTCCTGTTAATTAATAAGAAAGTCTTTCACCCTCCCTTCCTCTACGGTTTCAACAAATTCCACCGTCCTCATGATCTCTGGGTCTAGCTGCTCAAGACAGAATTATGATTTGGGGCACCTGGGTGGCTCAGTCGGTTAAGCGTCCGACTTCGGTTCAGGTCATGATCTCATGGTTCATGAGTTCAAGCCCCATGTCGGGCTCTGCGCTGGCGGCATGGAGCCTGGAGCCTGCTTCGGATTCTGTGTCTCCCTCTCTCTCTGCCCCTCCCCCGCTCGTACTCTGTCTCAAAAATGAATAAAACATTAAAAAAAAGAGAGACATAATTATGATGAAAACAAAGCAGCGGCCTCAGGACAGCAGGGAAGGCCAAGAGTGGGATCCATTTCTGCAACACAGGAAACAGAGCCCAAAGGGGCGAAGGGAAAACATAATTTGAGGAAGGCACAGTTTAGGCAGCTTCTTATTACAACTTCCAGCTGATTGGGTGTAGCCAAGCCAGAGACATCTGTTTGGAGTTTACAACAGAAACAAGCACACAGAAAGCCTGAAAAGCCGGAGACAAACACACACACAGCTCTGACAGTTCTTGTCTGCCTTGACCTCCACACCATTCCCCCTCTGGGTCACGCTGGGTTGTAGAAGGGAAGGAAATAGGTTCTTCCGCCGGCCTCCCCACCAGCCCCACCTGTGCCATGACTCATTCACGCCATGATCGGAACTTACCAACCTCCCTCCCTCTGTCCTTGATGTTCCTCCCAGGAAAAACAGTGACGGTCCCACTCCTCACAGAGCCCCATGGACACTTTCTTCAGGTCTCCAGTCGACCTTTAAAGTCCCTTGAGCTGTTTGTAAAGGAATAGGTGACCCACAGAAGAAGGTGGTAAAACCTCAGAAGACCCTGAAAGTCACTCTGTCCCTAAATAACTTCACAAGTCTGGGAGCGAGGTCCAGAACTCACCCTGCATCTCCAAGAATTAACTCAGAGAGACCAGGAAAGGCCCACGCCCCCACAACTCACTGAGTGAAGAATACGGGAGGATACACTCAAGGAGAAGGCCAGGGCTGTCACCAGCCATGGCACCCCCCATAGTGGAGGGCCACAAAGACCCCAGCCTATCAAACAGTGGGTTCCCTTTCTCCCGTCACCTCCAAGCACTGCAAAGGCCAAACCCTGTCCTACCACACCATCCCAGCGATGGACAGACCCTCTATCAGCCCAAGGGCCCAGGCATTTTCAGCAGACGCTCACCTGTTCTGTTAACATTGTCCTCTTTATTCTCTCCCCGCTGGACGTGCAAACAGAACCAGAGCAGGGCTACTCTTAAAAAATAACAAAATGTTTTATACACATTTCTGTATGTACAACTGAACAACATTTTACATGTCCCTTTTGCACAGCAAAAGATATAAACATTTAGCTCTGAGAACACAGTTATGTACAAAAAAGAAATGTCAAAAATACTTCACAACAGTGCAAAATATTTTACACAGTATCATGGAGGGAGATCTTTTGAGCAGGAGTAAAGTGTGTGTTTTGAAAGGAAAACTCCTTTTTCAGATATTAGATGTCTTTAACTGTAAACAAAATGCAACTTTCTTTCATCCCCCCCCACCCCCCCCACCCCTAAACAGTTATTTGAGGAATTTGGCAGAATTTCAAGGGTCTGAGTCTGAGGTAAACAACCCAAGCTCTCGCACCAAAAAGACTGGGGCAAGGAGGTGGCATTAGAGCCTCAAACATTGTTGAGAGCAGATTTTTTTTTTTTTTTTAATGACATGTCAAGGACAGCGCTAGGCGGCTCCCAGTTACTGTTATTCCGGCGGGTCGGCGGGGGTGGAGAGGAAATTAACCCCTCCTCCTCAGGCCCCAGCTGCCCCACAAACAGGAAACTGGCCGGCAGGCACCTCTTGCCTGTGGGACCGCTAACCGGCGGGCCCTTCCCTCACCCCTGCCTCTCTCTCCTTCCGTGCAGGGTTTGCCCCCTCGCATGTCTCCACCCGCAACCTCAGCCCTCTTCACCTCTTCAAACAGAGCCAAATGTGCCTAAGGAGAGGGGCAGGGTAACTCTGGGCCTCAAGTGTACCATTTCCCCGCTTCTGGGGAGGGGGGCGGTGGGATGGGGGAGGGGGGAGGAGAACTGCGGGTAAGGAGGTTGTCGAAAAGACCCGTGGGGAGTCACGGTGGGGCGCTAGGGACACGCGCAGGAGGCTGCTGGGATCTCAGCCCTAGTGGGGCTCCTCTGGGCCCGCGCTGTCGTCAGGGCCCGACCGGTCCCCGGCGGTGGCCGAGGAGGCGTCCAGGCCCCCACCTTCGATGGAGCTCTCGCTGCCGGTGCTCTCGCCGGACAGCAGGCGCGTCACCCGCAAGTCGGCCTGCAGGCTGCGCACGTCGTTGCCGAAGCTGAGCTCGCCAAGGTCGTTAATAAGCTGCGACAGCTCGGCCTTCACGTCAGAGGCGCTGCCCAGCAGCAGAGGCGGCGGCCCAGCCCCGGGGCCCACCGAGTCCCCGCCACCCCCTAGCGCCTCCTCGCGGCCACTCTCCAGCGTGTCCAGCAAGTCCCCGCATTCCAAGTGCATGGCCACCACCAGCGCCCGCTGCGCCTCGGCCTCTTCCGCTGGCGGGTCCTCCTCCCCAACACGGTGGTCCTCCTCCTCCTCCTCCTCCTCCTCCTCCTCCTCCTCCTCCTCCTCCAGGCAGCCCTCGGTGTGCTCCTCTTCCTCCTCTTCCTGCAGCTCCTGCTCCTGCTGTTCGCCGAGCAAGTCCTCGGTGATGGAGCCCAGCTTGGGCGCGCTGCGGCTGCGTTCCACCGGCGGCTTGTAGCAGCAGGGTCCGTGCAGGAGCAGCTTGCGCAGCGGCACTAGCGGGATGGTGTGCGCGCCCACCAGCTCCTGCTGCTGGTGACGCGCATCGTCCCGCCGCTTGAGCCTTTTAAATTCCGCGAGTGCGTTGGCCGACGTCTGGTAGAGCAGCAGGGCCATGGCCTGCGCTTTCTCGGGCTTGGACACCAGCACCGCGTGGCAGCGCAGCATTACCGCCTTGTGCTTGAGCTCGTGCCGGTATACCCAGGCGAAGACCTTGGGCAGCCGAGCGTCCGCCACGCAATAGGTAACGCGGTGCAGCAGGTAGAGGTGGCCCGGGCGGCGCAGTGCGCGCTCCTCGGCGTGCACCATGCGGATGCCCTGCGCACTCACAGTCAGCTTCATCTTGGTGCCCTGACGGCCCGCCTCGCTCTTGCTCCAAATCTTGCCCACCGCTAGGTCAGTGCAGCCGTCGCCGCGCGCCTGGATGGTGGTGGCATTGCCCAGGTAGAGCACGGTGTAAGTGGGGTCCTCGCTGGTGATGTGCAGCTTCTTGCGCTTGGAGCGGAACATGCTGCCCACCCGGCTGAGCGCGCCTTCGGGGCACGCCCGCGCCAGCGAGCTGAGCGCGGAGTAGTGCAGGCTCACCGCGTAGCCCTTGGGCTTGGACGCCTGCCGTGGCGGCGCCTCGGCCAGCAGCTCGAACTTGTGCTTCTTCCACGGCAGCATCTCCGGAGGGCGCCCCCGCGCAGCTGGGCGGCGGCGGCGGAGCGCCGGGTGCGAGCCCAGCTGAGCCACCCGCCCCGGCCGGGCTCGGCCCGGGCAAGACAGAAAAATAAAACTCTGCTGAGAGTGGCCCAGTGGTAGAGAAGTGGGTAGAGAGTAGAATGCTCGGGGACCCCACCGAAGAAGGTATGGGTAAAAATTTTTAATGGAAAGAAAATATTCAGCTGCGAGGGGCGGCGGGGGAGGGGGGGGAGCGCGCACAGATTTACCCCAGCCCGGTCAAGGACCAGGACTAAGAGTCTTAGGCAAGCAAAAGGAAAGACGGAATGAGAGTAGAACGGGAAAAAGATGCGCGCGTGCAAAGAGAGGGGACCCCGGCCAAAGCAGCCGGGACGGGGCGAGAATATGCAGGAACTCCTGGGCGAACGTGGAACTCCCCCGCTCTCTCTCTCTCTCTCTCTCTCTCTCTCTCTCTCTCTCTCTCTCTCACACACACACACACACACACACACACACAATCCCCTGGGCTGAGACTAGAAGCTGCGGAAACTGGATGGCGAGTGTGCCCAGGGGCCAGTGCTCCCCTACCCCAAGGGGTGCGGAAGACCGAGAGTCCCTCGACTGGGCTGGTCCCAGAATCAGCTGCTTGCCCCAAGTGCAGTCAGACGCTGCTCCCGCTGGCCGCGGTGGGCCCGGCGCAGCACTCCGGCTGTGGCTCACTGCATCTTCGCTCCGGCCGGACGCGGGGTACTCGGGCTCGGCCGGCTCACTGTCCCGGCTGGCTCGACCGGGGCAGCACGGGGCGCCGAGGGCGGCGCGCGCGCATGGTCGGCTCTGGGGACGGTCGCTACCTCATTTCTTCCCTCCGGGGGTGTCCGACTCCGCTCCCGAGGTCCCCTCGGACTGCTGTCCGCCCGCGCGGCGTGCCCGTCCCGTGCTGCGAGCGGTGTCCGGCTGGCCAGCCTCACATCCTTGCGGTCCGGGAGAAAGATCTCGGGTAAATATAGGCCGGCGCGAACCATTCGGCGCGCGGGGACAGGGGAGGAGCAGAGAAGAGGATGCGTTTCGGGCTCGGACGCCCGGCGGGTTCCTGGTCTCTTAAAGGGACCTGGCTGCAGCCATTTGCCGAGGGAAAGGGGAAACCGGTCCAATCCCGCAATTACATCTCAAATTTTCCAACATCTCATTTATCTGCAGATATCGCCAAGACCTGGGGTTACCCCTCGGGAAAAGCAACTTGTATTCTGGCACTCCACCCCCAGGCTGAATTGCAACTCACTAAATAAACCTATGTCTACATCGAAACTTCTGGGGGAAGTGGTGGAAGGTGGAATTTAGAGTAATTTACTATGCAAAAAAGTTGGGGAAATAGTGGTTCTTTCCTTGTGTGGTAGCTCTCTGAGAATGACTGGGTGCTGTTTAATATTATATTTTTTTCACAATTTTATTTCGTTAAAGGAAATAGAGGCAAAGAAAACACTGAGACTTTTACTATTTGGAGCTCTTTCTGCACAGGCAAGCAGATAGTGAAAAATAAGATTGAACATAATGGGGTGGCTGGAGTGAACAATATGGTATATAGTGCATAAATAAAGTGCTTCCTGACCCCAATCCCTTGCAGTGGCCACTCTTGCTCTCAGGCCTCAGAGGAGAGCAGCTTTCTGAGCTCTATACAATTTCTAAATATGCTTATGTGTGTGGTTAGAACTCACTTTACTTTGGTAGGCCGGTCATTCAGTTTTATTACATCATTGACACAATTTGGATGAGAATTCCTAGTAAAAATTCAAATGACATTTTCTATTTCAGCATCTGATAACCAGGCACCCTCCACAAAGAATGACATTCACATTATTATGCTTTTCTCTTGTGCCACCCAAACAGTGTAGTGTTAATCATCTGACCAGCTTGACCCTTGGCTTGTAACTCATTTCTGGGCCCTCAAGAAAACCTGCTTGCCTCCATGGTCTGCTCAGTCAAAGCCAAAAAAAACCTTTAGGCTGGAATGTGTGATAAATGTCCAGACTGGTCCTGCATCTAACTCCCAAGTTGGTCCTGGAAGAGGACAGTGGACCCTCTTACCCCACAGGCCCAATCCACTGGGGATCTCGGATGTCTCTGGCTTCCACGTCAACACTGCTGATTTCAGAGCCACTGTAGCCCCTCCTGGAAACAGTCTGGAGCTACCTTTGTTAACTTTTAACTTTTCTTTGAATTCTAACCCAATTTTCTCAGAGTCATTGGTGATGAGTTTCAATGTAACTTTTCCGAGTACTTTTTGCTGCCAAGCCCTTAGCTGGGAGCAGACCCAGGTCCTGTCTCCAAGAAGCTCCCAGTCCAATAAAGGATGTAAAAATTCCACCCAGCTCTGGGCTTCCACTGAAACTGTGAGAGCACCCTGTATCCCCCAGTGCCTAGTACAAATAGGCACTACTTGATCGTTGACCTAATGAATGAGACATACATGTGAGCCAGAAGGCAGAGCAGGCTAAATGCCCTGAGAAAGACTCAAAGTACTAAGAGAAGCCAGAAGAAGAGAAGATTTGTTATGAGTAGAAAAATCAGAAAAGGCTCCACAGAAGGTGGTGTTTGAAGAATGAACAGGATTGCTCCAAGCAGGGAAAAGTTGAAGGGCTTTCTGGATATAGAGGACAGTGAAATTACAGAACATGAAAATGCATGCACATGTGCAGATTGGGATGGAGTTTAATGATTATTAACAGTGAGTAAAGAAAGTTTCCTGATCCTGCTTTTGGGGCCCTCCTAGTCTCTGAGGGACGGAATGGCTTTTTCATGGCTGACTCGCCTGAGGGTGTCATTAGACCAGAGCTATGATGCCTTACTCCTCAGCTACACTAATGGGCTAAGGGAGGGATACCAGGCCTGGTGCTGGAATGAACTAGTTAGGACTATAATAAGCCATTTAAGCCAAGGTTAATTCCTCTTCTGCTCAAAGTTCTGGAATATCTTGCAGTGGCAATGAAGTACACTGTATGTGCTCCAAACCAAAAATTCCGGTAAAAACACACCAAATTAACCTGGGTTAAGTGACCTTTAGCTGGTCCATAATCTCGAAGCCTAAACTCTGAAATAGTAGATGTCATGTTCAAGCAGATAATGCTTCCAGGTTGCTCGGAGGTCCAAGGGTCAGATGGGTTTAGGGAAGACAAGGAAGGACCAGCGGTGGGGTCTAAGGCTTGTCTCAGCTCCTGCAAGGGGCCCACTGGGAGTCACATGTTAGCAGGGAGACCAGTGGGGCCCAATGAGGGGAAGGATCCCACTGGCAGGCCAGGCTTTTCAGAGGCAGCTAGAGCACTGGTTCTGGGCAGAGCTGCTCCTGCAGACTGGTCTCTGCCACACCTGGGCCTCCTTCTTAATAAGTTTGTTTTCAGCCTCGAGAGGACAGAAAGGTTCTAGGCAAACGTGAACACTCTGAGGTGTGAGTCACACTCAGTGCTGGTGCTCACAGACCCAGGAGGAGAAGGACCAGGCTGTCTCTTGCCGGTCTGGGCGTGGGCCAGCCTCTGGGGCCCGCCTCACCTTGTGAAGAAGCTGGCTACCCCCTCAGAAAGCACAGGTCACAACGGAGGCTGGGGGCTGGGTTTCTTCAGCGGGGAAAGCTGGTGGCACCATTTATGAGCCCACACCACAGTTCTGACACACAGGGCAGTTCCAGAAGCAAACATTAGCAGAGTCGGTTGGGAAACAGGTCAGAAACTACATCAGACCACAGACTGTACTGTTTTTGTGTGATGCTGCCCCATCTACTGGTGCCAGGCAGAAGTGCCATTTGGTGGGATGGTTTCTCATAGAACCGGATAAGGCAGTGGTTGAATCAACACACGGCCAAGTCAGAGCTGGAAAGAAACCTGGCCTCTAATTTGACATCTGACAGTCAGACTTTGAGCTCATAGAAAGCTTTCAGGCTGGTTTTCTCCCACCTTAATTCTTACGTAATGATCCGCCCTCTCGGTTCTCCTCCCCTAACATCCCCCTAAATGAATGCTGGCTTCAGAGACGGCAAATGACTCATCTGGGAGCCTCCAAGTCATTCAACAAACATTTGTTGACAGTCTATGGTAGATGTGATGTATTTGCTAGGGATATTGCATTAAAGAAGACAAACAAGTCTTTGCCCTTATGGGATTTATATCCTACAGGGAGGCAGATAATAAGCAAACAAATAATAAAATATCAAACAGTGATAAGTCTCAGTGCAAAAACAAAAAACAAAAAACAAAAAACAAACAAACAAAAAAAACCCAAGAAACCAGCAGTGTTAGGAGCAGACAGTGATTGGTTTCAGACAGCATGGCCAGGGAAGGTGTCTCTGGGCAGAGATCTCAACGAGATGGAGTCAGCTATGCAGGAACATTCTAGCCTGTGTTGACCAATAAGGCAGTCTCAAGCCACATGTGGCTACTGAGCACTTGAAATGTAGTTTGTCCAAATTGAAATGTGATGCAGGTATGAAATACACACTGGGTTTTGAAGACTTAGGAAAAAAATAATATAAAATATCTCAATAATTGTATAGTAATTATATATTGAATTATATATTTTGGCTTGGTTGAGTTAAATACAATATATAATTAAAATTAATTTGGGGGGCACCTGCGTGGCTCAGTCGGTTAAGCGTCTGACTTCAGCTCAGGTCACGATCTCGCGGTTTGTGAGTTTGGGCCCTGCGCCGGGCTCTGTGCTGACAGCTCAGAGCCTGGAGCCTGCTTCAGATTTGTGTCTCCCTCTCTCTCTCTCTGCCCCTCTCCCACTCGTACTTCGTCTCTCTCTCTCTCTCTCTCTCTCTCTCTCTTTCTCTCTCTCTCTCTCTCTCTCTCATAAATAAAACATCAAAAAATTTTTTAATAAAATTAAATTAATTTTGCCTGTTTCCTTTTACCTCTTTAATGTGGGTACTAGAACACTTACAACTATATATCTGGATGGCATTGTGCTGAGCTGATGTGCAGGCCTGAAGGCGGGGATGAACTCAGCAGGTTGAAGGATTCTCCAGATTCAAAAATCCTACTGTGTGATTACAGCCTCTGACTCTTAAGCCCTCCTCATTTCTGACTCTTATGATATCAATTCTTTAACCTCCTCGAGACCTCCAGGATCTACAAGAGCATTCCTCACATAGTGGACTCACCCACTAGTTGCACCAGAATCCCCTGGGCCAATTTCTGGCTCCCTTAAATCAGAATCTCTGCTTAAACTCCTCTATGATCGAATGCATACTAAAGTTTGGAGAACCCTGCCCTGGCCCACTTCGTTTCTCCCACTATCAGCTCCTTCCTGGCTTCTTATCCTCCCTTCGTCCCCTTCTAAGGGTCCTTCAAAGTGAAAGCAGGGGCCTCAAAACCTTTATGCTAAGTGAAAGAAGCCAGACAGAAGAGGTGATATATTGAAGGAGTTCATTTATATGAACTATAGGGAATTAAGTGAATCCATAGTGACAGAACACAGATTGGTGTTTGCCAGAGGCTGGGGAGAGAGAAGAATAGGGAACGACTGTTTAATGGATATGAGGCTTCCTTCTGGGGTGATGAAAATGTTTTGGAACTACATAGAGGTAGTGGTTGCACAACGTTGTGAACGCCCTAATATCACTTAATTGTTGACCTTAAAATGGTTAATTTTATGGTATATGCATCTCATCTCCATTTTTCTTTTTTTTTTTTTACAGCAGAGAGAGGATCAGAGTGATGTGTTGTGATGTGAGAAGGACCCACCCCTCCCTTGCTGGCTTTGAAGATGGAGGGAGGGGCCACAAGCCAAAGAGTGCAGGCAGCCTCTAGAAACTGGAAAAGGCCAGGACAAATCCTGCCCTAGAGCTTCCACAAAGGAGAGCCTATGACACCTCGGTTCCAGCCTGGTGAGACCTGCACTGGAGTTCTAGCCTGTAGAATTAGAAGTCCATGTTGATTTACACCAAGTTTATGGTTAATCTGTTACAGCAGCGATACACCTC